CCTGCCTCGAAAGTGTAAGGTCCTGAGTTTGATCCCCGGTACAAAAAAAAATTAAAAAATAAATAAATAAAAGAGGAGATTAAAAAAACCACATCAGTAAGGTGTTTAGCAAGCTCAAAGAAGATATAAACAGACAACAGACTTAATAAACAAAATGATCAGTTTAAAGAAGACATTAATAAAAAGCTAGCTGAGCTAAACACAATACAAAAACATGGATGACCAGTTTGGCAAAGAATTACAGTCCATGAAAGATACCAACAGAAATTTGGGAGATTAAGTTCTTTTGAGATCTGGGGATTTAGCTCAGTGGCACTGCGCCTGCCTCGAAAGTGCAAGGTCCTGAGTTCAATCCCTGGTACCAAAAGAAAAATAAAAGTTCTTTTGAAAAGTATGGGCAGCAGAAGAGACCAATATGTGAGGACAGAATGTCAGAATGAGAAGTCAGTGACCAATTATTCAGAGATATCTTAAAAAAGAGAACACAAACAATGGATCCAATAGCTCATAGATGACACAAAGAAGACTAATTTAAGGTTAAATGTTAATTAGTAAAAAATCATAAGAGCACACATTACAAAAATAAAAGCAATATCCTGATTACAGAAATAATAGCAGAAAACTTTTGAGATACGGGTAAAAAATTAAACATACAGGTTAAGTGTTGAACCCCAAATAGCCATGATCAGGAAAGAGCTCCGCAACACATCACAGACAAAATCTCAGAAGTCCAACACAAGGACAGAATCTTAAAAGCTGTTAGAGAAAAACAATGAATCATTTAATAAAGGGAAACTAATTAGAATCACAGCAGACTTCTCAACAAAAACTTTAAAGCCCAGGAGAGGTTGGAGTGAAGTATTTTAAGCCCTAAACGAAAACAACTTCCAACTCAAACTGACATATCCTGTGAAACAGTCTTTCAGAATTGATGGAGAAATAATGTATTTCCACAACAAAGAGCATTTTAAGAAATTCATGACCACCAAACCAGCACTTTAAAAAAATTCTCAAGAATACCCTAGAAAGAGAATGAAGTCAACAATGCCAAAAAATCCAATAGAATGAATATACCAGGCAGGGTGAACAGTTAAGCAGAGGGGGAAAAATGGAACTCAGAAGCAGGGAAATAATGCAATGACAGGAATAAGCCCACAGCTTTCAGTAATAACTCTTAATGTGAATGGTCTCAATTCTCCAATAAAAAGACATAGATTGGCAGAAAGGATCAAGAAACATAACCTAATGACACACAGTATGCAAGAAACGCATTTAGTTCAAAAAGTTCACAGACTGAAAATTGAAGGATAGAAAACAATATTCCATGAAACAGGACTCTGAAAACAAGCACAGGTAGCTATCCTATTTTCAGACAAAGTAGACTTCAAGCCAAAACTGATCAGAAGAGGCAAAGTCACTACATATTGATTAAGAGATCAATTCAAGGGCCTGGGATTTAGCTCAGTGGTTCTGCTGCCTGCCTTGGAAGCGTAAGGTCCCGAGTTCAATCCCTGGTACCAAAAAAAAAAAAGATATCAATTCAACAGGAAGGGATAACAATTATAAACATATGCAACAAACACCAGTGTATCAACTTCATAAAATGAACACTACTGGTCATAAAAGGTGAGATAAAAATCAACACAATTATAGTGGGGGAAGTCAGCACTCCACTGTCACAAAAATATCACCTAGACAAAACAAACAAACAAAGAAATATCAGAGTTGAACCAAACCTTTGAAGAATGAACAAAGTAGATATCTGGAGTTTCACCCCAAAACAACAGAATACAGATTTTTCTCATTTGCACATGGGACTATCTCCAAAATAGATCACATACCAGCTCATAAAGCATGTTTAGTTAATGCAAAGTAATATAATTATTCCACGTATATTATCAGATCACAGCATAACAAAACTAGAAATCAATGTCAAAAGAAATCACAGAAATTATGCAAAAACATATGGAAATTAAACAATACACTCTTGAATAATAAATGGATGACAGAGGAAATCAAGGAAGAAACTGAACAGTTCCTAGAATCAAATGACAATGCAGGTACAACATACCAGAACTTATGGGACACAAGGAAAGCAGTCCAACCCATAATACCAACATCTTGGAAGCAGCCTAAATGACCATCAACAGATGAATGGATAAAGAAAATGTGGTATTTAGATACAATGTATTACTCCGCCATAAAGAAGGATAAACCTGAGTCATTTGTAGAAAAATGGTTGCACCTTGAGACAAGTGAAATAAATAAGTGAAATAAATAAGTGAAATAAATCAGACGTATAAGCTTAAATATCACGATTTCTTTTATATAAGTAACCCAAATAAAAAAATTAAAGAGGAAAATAAATGATAGATAATAGGAAAAAGGGAGATAGATGTTTTGCAAAAGGGAAGGGGACTGAGAGACATAGCCACAGGAGAGGGAAGGGAAGGGATTGAAAAAAAGAATTTGTATCACATACATTTACCAACTCCCCATGAAGAGTGTAACCATTATGTACTATAAACATGTGCCAATAAAAATTAAAAAAAAATTATGAAGATGCTTGTGTTCTTGAATGACTGCATAATGACTTGGCTGGCCAAATTTCCTGAGCTAAAATGAATCATTAAAGCATCAAGTTTTTATTGTTTAGTTTTTTTTTTTTCCAGACAGGGTCTTGCTATGTAGCTCAGGTTGGCCTTGAACGCACAGAGATCCTCCAGAGTGCTGGGATTAAAGGCATGTGCCACTTCGCCTGGCATTTTTATTATTTAATAGCTCCACTTTGTTTGTACAACTGACAGTGATGATGGCCAGTGCAGGCAGACAGGGACTTTGGGAAGCCCTTGTTTTCTATCAGACATTGGGAGAAATAAGAGCCAAGTAGTGGAGGGATCAAGAGAATCTCATTCTCCACAGCTCACCTTTAGGAATGTTGACTGGCAAACTTCTAGTCAGGCTCACTTTTTCTCTTGCCATATTCAGCAAGTGCATTTGTGCCTGATCGATCTCAATTTTATGAATGAGTTTAGTCTCCTCCCATTCTGTGAGACTTTTAACTTCAGTGGTTTCCACACCAAACTGTTTGCCCATATCAGTAATTTAATCCTTAGCCATAGGATAAAAGAGCATATTTCTGGACTAGGGGTATGGCGTATGGCTCAGTGGTGCTTAGCATGCCCAAGGCCATAGGTTGAATCCGAGCACCACACACACACACACACACACACACACACACACACACACACACACACACACCCCTAATTCCCATTTTAACACAATGAACAGAATTCAAGAATTCATGATAAAGAATTATAGTCATCTTATTATATTCACACCAGTAGAGGCAGACTCGATCTCCATAAAGGAAAACTGAAGTGTTCCCTACCAGGCTAATGAAATCACACACATGCAGGTTTCTTTAGCTAAGAAAGAGTGGACAAAGGATTCTCCATTACAATGTAAAGGCTTTTCTTTTGGGATAGCCTTAATCATACCAGGTAGTGGGTAAGATCAAACCTGGAGCACAACTCTGGTTCAACCCTTGGACTCTCCTCAACAACATAATGAAAAAAAAAGCTATGTGGACATATGATGGTTCTCTTTTTCAAATGGTTCCTCAAAAATGAATTCTGTGAGATTGGGGACCATATTACCCTACATAAATATAATCTACCTGCTACCAGCTCAGTGTTAACTGCCATACCTTTCACAGATGTGGTAGTACCTCTCATCCTGTATGCCATCCTGAATGGGCACATTTACACTGTAGTACCGTCCTTTCCCTAGACCAATGTCAGACACGTCACCTGTTCCTGTAAGAGAGAGGAACACCATGATCAGTTTTTAACAATATGAGAACTAGAAAACTTAAAATATTTTCTGATAGAAATTCAGAAGGCCAAAATAATCAGCAGACCAAGTCTCTTTTGTTTTTTTGAGACAGCATTTCACTCTGTATTCAAGGCTGGCCTTGAACTTTTTTTTTTGGTACCGGGGATTGAATTCGGGTCCTTACACTTGTGAGCAGGCGGTGGAACCACTGAGCTAAATCCCCGGCCCTGGCCTTGAACTTTTGATCCTCCTGCCTCAGCATCCTGAGGAATGGGATTACAGGTGTATATTACTGAGCCCAGCTTTAGCAGAGGGTTTTCTAAGGGAATAAAATTAAAAATAAATAATATGGTGAATTAATAAACAATGCCAGGGAAGCAGAAAAACTACAGGAAACTGAAAAATACTTAGTTTATATCTTACTAAATGAAATAAAACTTGACCTTTCATGATTCTTAGGGTGACATATCAAAATACTGCAATTATCAGGATATTAGGAATTATATGTGGTATCTGATAGGATAGCAAGTTTAAGTGATCTGTCTCTTGACAGTCCATAAAAATCACTTGGAAGAAGAAACAGTCTTATTGTCATTCTTGTCATTGTCACCTGAACTGACTTGTGTTCAAATTTTGTGCAGAATAACACCAATGAGGTATTAACTGCACGGAACTATTCAAATATCAGACACAAGAAATGTACAGAAGAATTACAGAATCTACTCATCAAATGTACAGGGAGCTCACAAACCACTTGCCTGGGAAAAATCCTGGGGAGAATTTGTGCAGGGACACAGTCATGACTTTGGAGGTGAAACTGAAGGCATCTTCTACACCTACCAGAGAAAGAAATGTTAGAAGAATCACTTTATATATGGAACTCTTGTTTTCAACACCTGAAAATCTAGAAAGCAGCGTTGATGAATATACAGCAATAATAAAGTGAACAAACTGAAGAATAAAAGTAACACAAACCCCTGGTCTCTGATCTCTGTAATTACAGAAGAGGTAAAAGTTTGGTTCCAAGTGAAGTCTGGGGGTGACTTTTCAAATTCATTGCAAACTATAATTGGACTTCCCTTTTTGAAGCAATGCATGTCTTGGCTCTGTCTTTGTGGGATCTGTTCTAAAAGGCAGGGCAGGGCAAGACCCCAGAATTGAGGCATTGTCAACCATACTGAACAACGACAACTAGGACGCTTTCTGTTCTGTTTTGTATCTAAAGGAGTATTATGTGATTATCCTTTAAAAAGATGACCAATTATAAACATTAGGCATTATTAATGAAAACCTCATTATAAAGTGCCTCTCTGTAATACAGATTTGGTTATAAATGTAGGTCACGCAGAGGCCTGTGACAGTATATCTTTCTGGCTAAAATCTGGAAGGCTGAAAATAGTTATGGCTTTGTCCCTTAATAGCAGCTTTATAAGAGTTTTAAAACCTAGAGAAAGATGAGATGACAGGACTTTTCTAGAAAAGGATCTCCTTTTCATTGAAACAGAGTCAGAAAATGATTAGATGACTAGGAGATAAAAGCTAGGAGTTAAAGTAAGCCTTACTAGCAACTGCTATCCAATAACCACATCACCCACTTCCACCCCTTTCCTCACAGAATCATACAGAAACATATGATGGTTCAAATAATCAGACTGTAAAAGGGAAGGGCTCGTAGAAAATTCAGGTGCTTTGTGGAGATGGAAGTGGCTCCAGGGATGGGGAGAAATAAGAGGTAGAGGTAGGGAAAATAAAAAGAATAAAGAGGCAAAATGTATATGTACCAATAGCCCATAATGAGTATATTTGTTGTGTGTGGCAAACATACTAAATAAAAAAGTTAAAAAAAGAAAATTCAGGTACTACCTCCTTTTATATTTCAAACAAAGATTTGTCTCTGTGTTTACCTAATGTATTCCATCTTCATTAGAGGCCAACAGAGATCTTAAAACAATATTAACTCTATTTGTATATAACAGGTATGTTTGTATTTCCCAAGACTTAAGCCTTATGTATTGCCCCAGGGAGGTAGTTAAAATCAGTTAAAGGCTCCAGGCAGAAAGTATAAAGTAAACAGAATGAAACAAACAAAATAAATAAAAGAGCATTTCACCTTAGAAATGGAAAGAAGGATACTTCATGCAAACCCTGATTATTTATCCTTCTAGAAATGGATTTACACTTCACTCAACTGTGTACTCAAGTTGCCATTTTTCTCATATTGACTAGAACTGGCCATTTTTTTTTAATCTTAGGCAGAAAGAATTGTCTTGTTCTAATTTGCATTTCTCGGAGTATTAGGGTATGGATCATCTTTCCATGTGTTTATTGGTCATTTGTATTTCTTATGGGAAATACCATTACTCATAGTTACAAAATCACATATATATATATATTTTTTGGGGGGGGTACCTGGGATTGAATTTGGGACCTTGCGTTTGTGAGACAGGCAGTGGCAACATTGAGCTAAATCCCCGGCCCCTATAAAATCATATTTTAAAAGGGATGCCATGAGATGGTGGGGGACGTGGAGTTGGTGTGAAAGAGGACAATGGTCAGGTAGATGAAATATAAGGATGGGGTAGGACTGGCTACAGGATGGGAGATTTAAAATATACCAAATGTGTAAGAGTCTGGGGGTGGGGAAGGGGTCACTGGAAGGGAGATGCTGAAGAGGGGAAATAAACCAAAATGAAACACACCATAAAAGTTGGTTAAAACAGGAAACTCTAAATGCTGTAGAAATAACATTGCAAATGGAAAGAATGGTTTCAGGTGACAGTCTTATTTCATTCTTTTTTGAAAAAATTCTTTTATTGGTAGATTTTAGGTATACAATACATTTACATTTATCATTGGGTGCTTGTACCTTTACATGATGCATCTTGGTTCTTATTTTCTCCCCATTACTTATGTGCCCTTCACCCCCTCCACCCTTCCCTATTTACAAAGACTTTGTTTCCATTTTTTCGATTTCTCATAATTTTTCCTTTCCCTTCTTTCCTTTCCCCTACCCCTCCCACTTCCCCTACCCCCTTGGACCATTTTTTCCCATTTCGCATTATCAATTATTCATTTTAATAACTGGTACACTTTAGATATACAATATAATGACATTCATCATTGGAAATTTGCACCTTTATATAATCTCTCTTGGTTCTTATTTTTTCCCCATTCCCCTGCCCTCCCTTCGACCCCTCCATCCCTCCCTATTTACAAAGATTTTGTTTCCATTCTTCCATTTTCACATATTAATTCCATTCCCTTCTTTCCTTTCCCCTA